AGGTGAATGCAAGCCCAAGCTATAATTGACTCTTACAGACCCGTTTTCTAGATCAGGCTGAGATGCGGGTGTGAAAGAGGATATAGTGCTCATGTGGGGACTAGGTGCCAGGAACAGAAAAGGAGGAAGGGCTCTGTGGGCTCTTCTGCTTTGTGGTTGTGGCTGAGCCTGCTCCTGCCTATGCAGGCCTGAAGCAGCAGGGGTACAAGTTCACAGGCAATGACTGCTTCTCTCATGGTCATCTTCCTCCCTGTGTGAAGGACCCTGGTGCCTGTACTGCAGCTACTACATGGCTTTTCTGCTACTTATGATGTCTTGCAGAGATTTAATTTAGTTGTCACAGATTGTTGTTACCTCTCTGAGAGTGATTACCAAATCTCTCTGTTCTCCCTGACCTTGAGAGGATTTCTCCTGCTTACCAGCTCTACTCTGTCAATGCCTCATGGTAGCAAAAGCGATGATACACATACAAGCGTTTGGTGTCATGCTTGTAAAATTCACGAAGAATTATACAGCCTTGACTCAGAGTACTCTCCTCTGTTTCAACAACATTTGTCATATTGTCTGCTGGACTGCTGACACTAGAATGCCATTGTAATCACAAACAACCCACTTACAATGAAACTCATCATCCCTCCTCCAGCAGCCAGCCCCTGACCTCTCTTGTGTCTGTCAACAGCATTAGCATTTCCTGCCTCCCAAGTTTCAAGGTTTGGAGTCATCCTTGACACCCTTGTCTTGTAGCTGGAGCAAATCCAGCCACAGAGGTTGTTCCTATTGACATGGTGGAATGCCAAGACACTCCATTGCCTGTTATCATGCCTCCTGTTGATTGCATGGAAGAGTGCTTCCACCTATGGCTCCTAAATTTATCTTTCTTTAAAAAACATTATTTATTTATTTGATACAGGGTCTCTTGTACAGCTTTGACTTGTAGTGATTCTCCTGTCTCAGCCTCTCCAGTGCTGGGATTATAGGTGTGTACCACCATGCCTGGTTTCTGGGTAGACAGGGCATGTGGTACCAGAGATCAGAACTCGAGTCCTTGTGCTTGCCAGGCAGATGATTAGACTGCTGAGTTATCTTCCCAGCCCTTTAGTTTTCATTCTCAGCACATCTCCTGACATACTGTGACTGTTCCATATATGACTCTTGGTCAGACATATTTTATTTAGTAAAGACTTTTCAAATGTGTGGTTTTTGTTGTTGCTTTTGTGGGGGAACCCATTGCATTATTCTAACAAATTTTAAAAAACATCTTTTGTGTACAGTGTCTTGCTACATATCTCAGACTCATAGTGATCCTCCTGTCTCAGCAACCCCAGCTCCCCAGCACTGGGATTATAGGTGTGCATTACCACACCCAGTTTCTGGGGCTGGCTTGGTACTCCCAGGTTTCCAAGGCTGGCGCAGCATGTGGTACCGGGGATCGAACCTGGGTCCTTGTGCTTGCCAGGTAGACACTTAGAACACTGTGCATTGCATTCTTAAAGGAATATTATACAGAACCTTGATGAATAAGAGAGACCATCATATATCCTCTGATTGAAGGTGGATTGAATGAAGCACAATCTTTCCAACTTGCCTTCAGCTTTTATGGCAAATGTTTGGAACCCAAAGAGTTCAATGAAACTATAAATGAACACAAGCTTATACATTAGAATTAAGCAACTTGGAATGATCTAATGTTTCTTCCAAGTGATTCAAGAAGTTAGTTATTATCAGCAGATGTAAACCTTCTGACCTAGCTACACAAATTCATAAATATTTGTTAAATGTAGTCTCCTTAGCCTGTCTGGATTAATGGAATCCTCTCCGAGCTCAGAGTCTGGAATGGCAGCCAGGCATCTCTATTAATTCAAATACCTTTGAAGCCCTAGTCCTACATCTTCCTAAAGGATTCCTGTATCCTGTTGGATTCGTAGCATTTTTACCTTTTTAAAAAATTTCTGCTTTATTCCTCTTCTTGCATTCCTATCTTAAACTTCTCAGCTGTGCATTTAATTTCTCCCACTTAGAAAATAGGCCTCTTACAGAAAAAAATTATTTTGTCACTTTTTATATCTAGTATCCAGTGCAACATGCTGTTAATAGCATGTACTTAGTTGGTATAGTTTGATTATAATCCAAGAGAAAATGAAAGCTGGGGACCATCGATCCCACTTGCATGAATAGAAACCTAAGTTAAATATCCTGTCTTTAGAATGTTCCTCCTGATTATAAGTTAGGAGAAGTGGTTAGTGAGACTTTAATTATAAACATTACTCCCTCCCACATTACCATTACATTTAAAGCTGCATCACTGGTAGTTTTTGATTAAATCATACTACAAGTAGATTTTGGAACTGACAATAGATGCTTACACGGGGTGGGGGGGGCTCAGTTTAAACTAGAAAAAAATGTGTCATGTATCCACAAATCTATACACAAACCATATTCAGAAGATTATAAAACATTTATCTTAGAGTAGAAATTAAGTGGTGTCTCTTTCCTATTAAGTCTTGTTTAAATCCCCTAGCTTGGTGTGTGTGTCCCACAGAGTCTGGTCTACTCCACAGTCCCACCCCAACCACCACATCCTGGCCACATGAGCAGCTTCTTAGCTTCCTGGACTGCCAGCTCCTTCCCTCTTAGTGCCTTCCTGCTAGCAGCACTGTGGGTCTGGATGGTTTTCCTTGCTCTTTCCTTTGTCAATTCCTGCCAATCTGTGGGTGTCAGTCTACTTGTTACTTCCTCAGGAGAATTCCTCTCTGATCTCTAGAATGACTTAAGTTTTCTTGTGATGTGCTCCTGAATTGCACTACCATGATTATAAACATATGCATGAACTGTAAAGTACATTGTTTGATGTCAGTGTTCCCCATCAGATTATAAGCACTCAAATCTGAAATTACCCAAATATTATGCACTCTAATACTCTCAATGCCTAGGACAAAGCCTGATGCATAAGAGATGCTTGACAGGATAAATGAATGGGAATTTTATGCATGAGCATCTTCCAGAACTTCCAGAGAAACAAACCATTCTAATGCTATCACCCATCTGCACCTTAGTTCATTTTGCTCCTGCCATCTGTGGACAAGGACCCCTTCTCTAGGTCATGTGATTCCACTTTTCAACTTCAACAGTTATGAAAACGAATCCAAACAATCGAGCATTGTGCAACAGAAGCCTTCACTTGTTCTCAACTAGACTTCAGCTTAAAGGATTGGAATAACATGAAAATTTAAATTATATACTTTGATTAAAATTGTGCCATTATTTTTCTTTTTACATGGATAACTCTACAATTCTTTTCAACATTAAGTCATTTTGAAAACTTATAATTCTGTGTAAGAAGTACAAGAAAGCATGATCTCATTGTTATGAAATGTCCACCTGCTATAATCTTATGATGATCAATGGAGTCAACAAGTCTCCTTTTCTGAGAGCACTGGCCATCCCATTGATATATCTGTGACCTGTTTTTTTTGTGTTTTCAGCCTTCAGTTACCCTGCTGAGTCAGACAACTAAAGAACAAATTACAGCTCACTACAGAGGAGACTTTTATTTTTACGACCCAAAAATCTAACCTTAAAGAGCCCCATCACCCTTGAATATTTTTCTGTCAGGGTGTTAACCGTTCACCAAATTTGCATTAAACAATCAAAGGTTCCACACACTCTCAATCATATTTCCTGCAGTACTATTTTCAGAAGTAGGATGAAAACAAGACTCAACTGTTTTGTTAGGCCTTTGTCAGGATAAGTCGTTGTTCAACTGGACAGACAGGGGGAGAAATCCAATTCTATTCTGTCACAGTCATTAAACTCATAAACACCTCTGCATTTTTTTCCTCAAGTCTTAATCAGAAAAAAATAGTAGTGTGAATAACTTATGCTTTCAGGGTAGAACACAAACACACAGAGAACTCACAGCAGGAAGAAATGCATGTGTCTGACATCAAGCCCTCCTCTGTAGTGACTGACCTGCAAACTTCTACATGGTCAAACCCATCCTCATGGGCAACAGGAGGCTTTGGAACCGAGCTCTGCACCTGAAGCCCTGAGTCGTCCACATGCTTGGCACCTTCTGTGACTGCTGCTGTTTCTGTGCTGGAGTCCGTTTCTGCAAGTCTTTTCTTGCTCATTTCATTTTGCCTGACACTGTGCAAGAGCTTAGAGTCTTGCAGGCAGAATCTGCCTTTGTTTCCCTCCGACTTCCTTGAGGGTCTCTTCATCTCAAGGGCTCCTCTCGACAGGGAAGCACTGCATTCGTGGTACCTTATGACTTTGCCTCTGCAGAGATTTAAAGAGCAGCTCTCACACTCCATCAGCTCCTGTTGCTGCTCACCTTTGGATCCCAAATCAATAAGCTCAATTCCTTTAGGAGTGGAAGACCCAGATAAACTTGATTTATTATTGTTTCTCCTTCTTCGTGACAGTCTGAATTTAACCTGGGCTCTCCTTCTGGCCTGAATCCAATGACTCTCATCCGTGGAGGATGAATCTGAAGAATCTTTGTAGAGTTCCCTCCATCTGGGGCTTGTGATCTGGAGGCGGAAGTCATTTTTTCTCCCTTTGTTCTTTTCTTCTGAATGCTCATACCTCTCAGAGGCCATCCTTCTCCTCCTAGGCTTCTGTTTTACCAGTTTCTTACCCAAATCCTTAGCAGGACTCAGCACCATGACAGGGGTACTGTGCTCAAAGGCATCTTCTGACATGTCATGCAAGGTGGAAGATCTAGACAAAGCAGCAGGCAAAGGATGGGAAGCAGGAATGGAGGAAAGTCATGGAAAGATGGGGAGAGAGAGCATGATGAAAATGATAGTATGACCAGAACTTGGTAAACAAAAATCGATTGAAGAAAATGAACCAAAGGGGGAAACAATCAAGCCAAGTGTAAATTGCCTATAGGCAAGATATAGCAAAAGCATGAGCCACACATTCTCAGAATATAACACAAAAATCGAAACACTAGTCTAAAGCATATTGAATAGGATCATTTGCTCAGCACTTACCTACAGATGTCCTGAGTGGATGGACAGACAGACAACCTTGACTGGCTCCTGGGAGCTGTCCCTGTTGTGGGGCTGCTGGCCTGGAGAAACAAGTTAGATAATTTGGCATCTTGGTTAAGGTAATACATGGTTGATATCTTGCTTTTTTTCCACATATTTAAAAAATTGCAGCAAACGTGGCTGCCGGTCATGTTGCTCATAATGCAGCTTACAGAATATAGGAAGTCAGGGGTGAGTTTTGCAAAAGTAAAACCATTTGAGGAACTTTAGAACAGCTGATATGCTGTGCCACTCTGCTGTTGCTTCATTTATGGGAGGGGAAGACAGTTCGACAAGTTTCTATTTTACTTGTTATAATCTTTTGAGTGGCGAAAGTTCCAGTTACCTGCGAAATGATCGGGTAATGCTTGTAAGAGGTTAGGAAGTAAAGACTACAATGGCATGGCTGACAAGGATGGCAATCATCTGGGAAGGCTAAGTAATCAAACAGCCATTAGACTGTGAGACACTGCCCCAAGGCAACATCATGAGATAATATATTTGAAAACACTTTGAAATATTAAAAATATTGCAGTTATTAATATTATTATTTCATCACCATAACCAATAAAATGTATCCACTGAAACACTGTTGATTTTCTATATTTTTAATCCTCTTACATACTGAGTTTGGGCATGAAAGCCTGCAATGACTCAATTTATTAGCACAAAGGTAACACTTTTCACTAGGTTCCTACCTTTGTAACAGATTCTTCACCCTGACTTCTTTAAAATGCTGTATTTAATACAGATCATGAAGATAAAGTTAGAAAGCATGAATAATTTACTGAGTGATTGTACTGTGGTCTTACCTACCATCTCTAATCTTTACAACAATTTCACAAGAAGGAAATAATAAATTTATAGTTGGGAGGGACTATTATATGCCAGTCATTAGTTTTGACAATTTCTACATATTTAACTCATATTGTAAGTGTATTGACAAATGCCTTAATTATTCCTGTATTACAGTTGTGGAAACTGAGAAACTAGGGAAGCTTCTCACTGACTGGATACTGCAGAGATTTGTACCCCAAATTTGGTTCCTCGCACAGCAGCGCTGGTGGAATTAGGAGTCCAGATTCAGTGCTGTATGATGGCAGAGATAAAAGGACACACTCTTGCAACAGAGAAAGAAATAACTAAAGTAGAAAGATTCTTTATATTTAAGAATTACCATTTCAGAGCTATGGGAATCATCCCACAGTGATCCAGAGAAAGAACAACTAATTCTAATGTAGTAGCTAAGAAAAACATATTAGAAGAGGGGGTATGGTACGCTGAATGGTAGGACCTCTAAGGAGGTCCACGTCTTAATCTGTGGACTTGAGGATATATTTATCTACATGGCAAAGGGTTTCACAAAGGCAAGGGAGAATTGTGGGATGGGAAGACTATTTTGACAGGCTGATTATAGTCATGAAGCTTCAACAAGAAGGAGGAGGTAGAATTAGAATCTGACAAAGACATGAGAAGGGCTGGCCAAATAGCTCAATGGATTAAAGTGTATGCTTAGATGCAGAGGCCGGGAATTTGATCCCCAGGCCTGCTGTGCCAGCCCCACCCTGGGGCATGCTGAGATGGCAACTGACACTTGTCGTGGTGGCGTGTACCTGTAATCCCAGCACTTGGGAGGCTGTAAACAGGAGGATCACTGTGAGTCTGATCTACACAGTGAGACCCTGTATACCCTATACACTCTGTCCTAAATACAAAAGAAAAAGAAAGAAAGAAAGAAAGACAGACAGACAGACAGACAGACAGACAGAAAGAAAGAAAGAAAGAAAGAAAGAAAGAAAGAAAGAAAGAAAGAAAATAAGTGAGGGTAATTGTAGAGATCAGAAAGAAGGAAGATGCTATACTTTGAAATTAAATGGGCAGGGATGTGAGCCAAGGGATGCACTGGTGCTCTAGATGCCATGAAAGTTCAGAAAAGGGGTTCCTCCCTAGACCTCCAGCAGGAATGCAGATGACATTGTGATTTTAGCCCTGTGGGAACCATGGTTGGCTTCCGGTCTCCAAAACTAGAAGATGGCACATTTGTGTTGTTTAAAGTCAACGAATTGTTGCTTATCATTGATACCAGTCACTAACAAATAATATAGGAGAAGCACTTTAGATGACCTTTTTTGTTTGTTTGTTTGGACACTTTAGATGACCTTAATAGGAAAATGGGAATTAGTAGAGAAGATATTAAAAATGTTTCAGGTTAGAGGAAATGGTGTATCGTGATAAGGCCGGGCATGACCATGTCCTTCATACTGACAGATGCTTGCAGGCTTTGGATTTCCTGCCTTTTCTTATCAATTCTTCAATACTGTGTACTTTTAACTATCTAAATATTATTTTGAACATCAGTTCATTTTGAACATCTGTATCAAACCCACTTCTTCTAATAGATTTTTTTATTGTTGTTGGTTTTTTTTTTTTTTTTAGAATAGATTCATTTCTGCATCTTTTGGGCAAGTACAGAATCCATTTTGTAAAACATAATTTCTGTTCCACAGGAGGTGAGCAGTCAGTTTCTGGAGGCTGTACAGCCCTCCCTCCTTGTATGCCTAGATACTAGTAGGGAGCTCTGCACAGAGCAAGCGCCGGATAAAGGTCATGTGTATGTTGGAACTTATTCTCATAAAAATCAGTTTATCCCCAAATGTCTCCAAATCACTGATGTCATTAAGGATGTGCACCCCATGAAAATGAGCCTCATAATGGATATCCACAGTCTCTAGGCCTCACAGGCAAAGATGTGGAAATAAGATGTCACCACAACAGAACAGATTTTATAGTCTGATGTGTCTGATGAAAGGTATATTTTACAGTGAGAAAATTATTCATTATTGAGAACAGAACATGTGCAGCACACAGCTTTCCTTTGGAGGCTGTTTTGGTCCATGCTACTGAATCAAGTGATATTTATGCCAATAGCACTTTAGTACATTGAAGGGACTAAAAAACAGTTCGGTTGCCCTTAAGGACTATTTAGATATCTCATCCTCAGTTCTAGTTTATACACAGTTGGGCTGCCTGTGGGCAATGGTAGCAGATGCTATACCTGTGCCCTTGGCCTCCTCTGCCTTCCCCTGTATGCAACTGCTCCGCACTTTTGGGTCTCTGCATGGCAGCTTCTCTGCCCCCATCCTTTCTGCTTCCCTGTGTGCCTGTTGGCTCCTGCACACAGACGTAACCTGAGAGTTTGTAACCTTGGACTTAGTGAAGTCTGGGGATACACACCACATTTTCTTCACTCTGTGGAGGGAGCAGATGTGAGTAGTTCCACAGTAAGTTCCAAAATTTCTCAATAGGTCCCCATCTGGAGCAAGGCCCCACTTCCCCTAGTTCATTAACTCATCCCTTATTGGTGGTTCCCTTTTCTCACTCCTAATTTTCCTATGTATTGCTGGTTTTTTTTTTTTTTTTGAGGGCTCATCTGCTCAGAAAACTGCTAGCAACCCAGGCTGCATCTAAATTAAGAGTGAGATTAAGAGTGAAAATGGCCTCTTGTGGAACACAGCCGAGATAAAACGTACCCTTGCTTGTTTGGTTTTTGATTCATTTTCTCAGAAAACACTAATTAGAGGCTAGGAGGCTTTAGATACTACGGTGAAGAAAGAGACAGAATCCACCCTACAGGACTTCTTGTTTAGTGCAGAGGCGTGTGAATGAACAGGAGAAGTCCAGACAGTTTTATGCATCCTGACAGAGCCCAGGAGTGGGCGTGCTGAGGAAGGCAAGCTGGCTGGTGGAGAGGAGGGCATTGCAGTGAGGGGCCCAGCCATGCTAGCAACTAAGCTGGAGGAGGTGAGGACGGGCTCAGTGGGGAGAGCAGTCCCTACGGGGGGAAAAGTGCACAGGAGCACAGAATAGAAGAACAGCAAGCACAAGTGATTCTGCAGAGATCAGTAGAATATGTGGGATACACACAGGAATAGCCACACTATGAGAGTGGAACAAAGGCCTAAAATGTGTCTGTCCGTCTATATGTCTGTCTGTCTATCTATCTATCTATCTATCTATCTATCTATCTATCTATCTATCATCTATCTATCATTTCTCTAACTAGTTAGCTAGACAGCCAGCTATTCATTCCTTAGCACAAACAAATTTTCATTTCAAATCAGTGGAAAAAGGTATTATTAAATAAATGCATTGGAAGACGCAACTTGTCACTTCAAAACCCAAACCTGAATTCCTGTTTTGTTGCTTGCACTAAATTTAGGTGGATTAAGGATTTAAATATAATTTTAAAAAACCCCACAAAAGTATGTGAAACATAATTGAGTAGATTTATATTGTGGATGGAAATTCTTTTCTTACAATGACATGAAACAAAAAATTAATATAGGAAAAAACATAACCATGGTGGTTTCAAACATAAAACCTTAAAATTTATATGAAAGACATACATTTACGTGCAACCAGGGATAACCATAGAGAAAACTCAAAACTACAATGCTATCTGTTGTACACATGAGAGTCAAGTAGCTAACTGCTCTTGTTTTCAGAAACCTCTTACAAATGAGAAAGACAATTTTATTGATCTTATAGGAGGAGTAAGTACACAGAAATGAAATAATAAGTGGTCAAAAGCCATGTGTGAAAAGGTCTCAATTTCAAGGTAAAACATGCAAATTCAGTTAAGAATGTTATTCTATCCACTTTCACTTATCAGATGAATTTAAAAAAAATTCACTGCTAATTCCCACCCAGTGGAGCTAAGGTGTGAAGACCAAACATTGACCTGTATTCCCAGAGTAACTGAAATCTTTGTTGTTTATTTGGAGGTCAGTCTGGCAGACAACAGAAATGTCTATGCAATTTAAGTTGGAAAATATACTCATAGAAATCAGTTTTGCTAAAACAATTTCACAATGGCCTAAAGATGTACTTTTATGAGAATATTATTATTATTATTTTGCTTTTTTGAGATAGGTTCTCAATATGCAGTACAGCCTGGGCTTAAGTTCACTTTGTAGGCCAAGCTGGTCTTGAACTCAAAGTGGCCCTCCTGTCACAGCCTCCCAAGTGCTGTGATTATAGG